CCTTCATTATTCGGAGAGAGGGTATCTGAACTTCAATAGGCAAGACTGCCTCCATGCCATAGACCAAGGAGAAGGGAGTTGCCCCTGTTGACGTCCGTGCCGAGGTACGGTATCCATGAAGAGCAAACGGTAACATTTCGTGCCAATCTTTGTAGGTCACTGTCATCTTCTGCACAATCTTCTTGATGTTCTTATTTGCTGCCTCGACAGCCCCATTCATCTTCGGCCGATAGGGGGAAGAATTGTGGTGCTGTATCTTGAATTGCTCGCAGAGCTCAGTGATCATCTTGTTGTTAAGATTGGTACCATTATCCGTAATGATCCTCTCAGGTACACCGTATCGACAGATCAAGTTATGCCGAATGAACCGTGCCACGACGCTCTTGGTTACAATAGCATAGGAGGCTGCCTCAACCCACTTCGTGAAGTAATCAATCGCTACCAAGATGAAGCGGTGCCCGTTAGATGCCGTTGGTCGGATCTCGCCGATCATATCAATGCCCCACATTGCAAAAGGCCAAGGTGCTGTCAAGACGTTCAGAGGAACCGGAGGAATGTGCACCTTATCAGCATAGATCTGGCATTTATGACAAGTTCGAGAATGCTGATAACAGTCGGCTTCCATTGTGGACCAGAAATATCCTGCCCGAAGGATTTTCTTTGCCATGGTGTGTCCACTGGAATGTGTTCCGAAGGTACCTTCATGTAGCTCTGCCATGATCTTTTCTGCTTCAGTCTTATCCACACAACGCAGTAAGGTTGAGTCATGGTTTCGCTTGTAGAGAATGCCATTGCTGAGGAAGAACTTTGCTGCAAACCTTCTCAGGAATTTCTTGTCATTAACAGATGCACCCTCGGGGTATTCTTGAGCTTCCAAGTACCTCTTCACTTCATGATACCGGGGTTTTTCAGTTACCTCCTCGGTCTCGAGATCGCAGCAATATGCAGGTTCATCCAACTTCCAAATAATGATCTGGGGCGCCTCGTTGTCCCATTTGACTTTGAACATTGAAGACATCGTAGCTAACGCGTCTGCCAACTGATTTTCCTCTCTTGGGAAGTGTTCAAAAGTTATCTCTTCGAAGTGGGGAAGCAATGTCAGCACATACTCCTTGTAAGGAATAAGATTTGGGTGTTTCGTATCCCATTCGCCTTTGACCTGATTGATCACGAGAGCGGAATCTCCGAAGACACTCAAAAACTTGATCCTTAGGTCAATTGCAGCTTGAAGACCCATGATACATGCCTCATACTCCGCCATGTTGTTGGTGCAGTTGAAACATAGTCGGGCAGTAAGTGGAGTATGAGCGCCTTTAGGGGATATGATCACAGCGCTGATACCATTACCCAAAGCGTTTGAGGCTCCGTCAAAGTGCATAGACCATCAGGATCCTTCCTCAGGTCCTTCATCCGGTCCAAGGACTTCACAATTAGTTACTACCATGATATCTTCGTCTGGAAATTCGAAGTTCAATGACTGGTAATCGTCCACAGGTTGGTGTGCCAAATGGTCTGCCAATACACTTCCCTTAATTGCTTTTTGAGTCGTGTACTGGATGTCATATTCCGTCAAGATCATTTGTCATCTTGCTATTCTTCCGGACAGAGCAGGCTTTTCGAATATGTACTTGATTGGATCCATTTTTGAAATCAACAGAGTAGTGTGAGTCAACATATACTGTCTCAGCCGGCGAGCAGCCCATACCAGAGCGCAGCAAATTTTCTCGAGCAGTGAGTATCGAGTCTCACAGTCGGTAAACTTTTTGCTCAGGTAATAAATGGCGTGCTCTTTTCGGCCAGACTCGTCATGCTGCCCCAGCACACACCCCATTGAGTTGTCAAGTACTGTCAAGTATAGTATTAGAGGTCTCCCTTCAACCGGTGGCATAAGAATGGGTGGTTCTTGGAGATACTCTTTGATCTTTTCGAAAGCAGCCTGACATTCATCGTTCCAACGTACTACTTGATCTTTCTTCAGCAGTTTGAAGATTGGTTCACAGGTAGCAGTTAGATGTGAGATGAATCGGGCAATGTAATTCAATCGTCCTAAAAAGCCTCTGACTTCTTTCTCTGTCTTGGGAGTTGGCATCTCTTGTATGGCTTTCACTTTGGCAGGGTCCACTTGAATACCTTTGTCGCTTACGATGAAACCTAGCAATTTTCCAGATCTCACCCCAAAGGTGCATTTGTTTGGGTTCAACCTCAGCTTGTACAACTTCAGACGTTCAAACAGCTTCCGTAGATGGTCAAGGTGTTCCTCTTCAGTTTGGGACCTTGCAATCATATCATCGACGTATACTTCTATCTCGTGATGGATCATATCATGAAATAAAGCAACCATGGCACGTTGGTAGGTTGCCCCAGCATTTTTCAACCCGAAAGGCATGACGTTGGTAAGAATAATACATGTTTTATATCTCCAACTGTACATTAGTTACTAAACTAGACCTTGAGACAATTTAGGAAATTTTATATTGTTTGTTCCAAAATTTAATGAGATTCTGCTGCACAATTGGTGCATCACTCAGCTTATGGATCAAGAAACTTTTAGATACATAATTTAAAGCCAATGGACTGTAAAGATGTATTTAAAGAGAAGACTTAATCAAACGTAATTAGTTCTTTCAACAAGTGTAAAATAAGGAGAAGAAAAACAGTCTTAGATTTTGCGAGTCTTTTGTATATTGTGTGGTGTAAGTCACCCTTGTATATTTTGATACTTGTGGTCGACATTATGTTCTCACTCAGAAGCCTTTAGGCAATGAGTTGAGTGTTATTCTTGGATGAAACTTTTAAGAAAATCCAAGTATTATTCTTAGTCAAGAGTCTTGGCTAAGTATTATAATAGAAGTATGATCTTCTTGTTGAGTTATTCTCGATACATTCTCTTAGATTAGGACTGCTAGATATCGCTGAGGTGATTTAGGAAGTGAGATAACGATTTTTTATATTTAGGAGGTTCCTAGGTAGAAGTTTCATTGGATAGTGATTAGGCAAAAAATTGTAAACTGAGATTGTTTAGATTTGAACTAATACTTCTAATAGTGGACTTCCTTCTCGACTTGATAACTCTCAAATATAGGATTAACAAATTTATGTGTTATTTATCATTCTGTAGCTTAAGTTTTAATATCTGTTATAATTTGATAAATCTGTTCAGGATGTCAAATAAGATGTTGTAACATCTGTCTTGACATTGTTCTGATGTTGGAATATCAGTATTACCATGTATACATGTACCTTAGAAATTTCACTAATCTCACGCGCTTCCAACTAACTAACCAAATCTTCTAATTTTAAAATTTCAAGTTGGTTGGATTCTTGAATAGATACGATAACGTGATCCAAGTGAGAGGTCAGCGTACACATTACCTTCTGAACTATCATCTTATTAGTTAGGATTTCATCGCAACTCTTTATAAGATGTATGTACCTTCGATACATACTATACAATCTTTTTGTCTTCTCCCAATGACAATTCATATTGTCGGCGCAAGGTCTGCAATTTGATAACTTTGACTTTTTCACCTTCTTCGTAGTACTTGACAAAAATATCTCATGCCTCCTTCGCGAATTCAGCATGAGAGATCCTGCCGAAATTTGTCGCATCAACTTTTATTTGAATACAATACACAACTTTGCAATCCTTCTTCTTGGCTTTGTTGTGGGCGGTTTTTTGTGCATCTGAAGCCAACCCATCGAATCCAATTCTTGACGTCAAGAATTGAAAGAGAATTCAGAATGCCATTAATTTCATCATCTTCAGAACACTTGATTAACAATAACCACAATTCTGAAAACACAATCTCTAACGTGTGATTCTTGAAAGCACGATCAAGAATCTAACCGAAATTCTAGATACTAATTTGTTAGTACGTGAGACACTTTTAGTGAGGGAAAAAAGAAAGAAGAAAATAAGGATTGTATTATTTAAATTATTACAAATAACAATACAAACTATAACTATTTATATACACCTAACTTATACAATAAGTAGACTAACAAACTCTAATTAGACTTGGACTTAGGTTACACAACTTGAATTAGGTCTAATATTTCAACAACCACAAACTTACATTCCACCGTACACAAAGCCCCGAATTTGAATGTCAGTTACAAGCAAACACGATTTTATGATCTCAAAAAAATTGTTCACAAACACCAAATTGTGATCACCAAGCAACATCAAATCATGAATCAAAGACGAAATCATGATCACAAGACAACACTGAATCATTAATCAAAGACAAAGACGAAATCAAGGGACGACAACAAACCTCAATACTTGAAAGCATAAATGAACAACAACCAAAAACACCACCAAGAATCACAATCTCAATCCTTCAAATCAAGAATCACCGAAATAAAATCAAGAGAGGACACAGAACTGCAAACAACTACGACAACTACAATCAAGGAGCAAATAGAAACGAGAGAAACAATTCTGAGAACGTACCAGTGGAGTGTCTCTAAATAAGGTCAAAATAACACAATTTTACAGTCAGAAAACAGTCAGAAAAATTGGCTTGGTCACTTGTTCTATGTCAGAGACATAGAAAGAAAGCACATTAAAGAGCCTGAGCTATTCAGATCTTTATAGCCTATGCTTTGAGCATTGAAATTGATAATCATGACAATGATCATAACTACAAACAAGTTATGGTTGGTCATGAAAAAGGAAAACTGGAAAGTTGCAATGGAAGAAGAAATGGATTTTCCCTTAAAAGCAATGACACTTAAAAACATGTTGAAAAGCCTACTAAGCAGAAACTTGTGGCAAAAATATCACACACAGAAAAGATGCAGATTCAATGAAATCACCAACGAGGAGCGTAAGTGCCAACTAAATAACTCCTTGTATGCATAATATAATCCAGTTGACATGTTAACCAATGTGGTTCTTAGACCCACTTATTTTCCATGATCAAACACAACTGCGTTACTAGTAAGAAGTGACTGATGTTACCAAATTGAGTATTATGAGATAACAGTTGTCAACATAAGTAATTCATGTTCTCAAAATCATTATTACTTAGTTATAGGTCTACGAAACACATGCATACATAAGAACATTTCAAATAATTATATCTCACAGGCAAGTCATAAGCCACATCACAAGTGCTTGAATATTTATAGATCCCAAGCAATAAAACAAAAGAGCTTGAGGTCCTTGGACCACTTACAACAATCCCATATTCGCACCTCTTTTTTAGTTTCTAGACTTCATGGCTTTAATCGCCCTTATGAAATGTGTCAGTATGAAGCAACTAATATCCAGTTGCAAACAACAAAAGGGTTCCATCAATAAGAGTTTATGACCAACAAGGGTCAGGTTACTTGTTAATTAACATTCCCATACATAGGCAACAAATTTCGTGCGATAAAACTCCGATCATGGGCGGCACACGAACACGGGCAGTGTGCTCGTTATGATGGGCGGCATGCTTCTAACGTTCGACTCATTTTTATCGCATCTGCAGGTGATTTTAGAAGCTTCTTTAGCGTCTCAACTATGCTTGCAAAAGATGGGCGATCAGCAGGGTTACTGCAAAAAGAAATTACAAAGATTCCGAAATGAAGCAATGTTAGAATTGTATATGAATAGAATGAAGTTGACAAGATTCTATTTATACTTACTCCGCCCAACAAGATTCCATTAGGGAGGCTAACACTGGAGAGATATTTGGAGGGATAGAAGGTCTCCTATTCTGGAATGCCACAGCTCCAACCACCTGAGCATACACACGAAGATTATTTTACTATACTCACGTCTAAATTTCACAGGTTTCATTTTGTCAAGCAAAGGTAAAACCATATTTCAAATTTTCTTATAAATTTGAAAGTAGTAACTTATTGGTTTGTGCAAAACAATCATAAAAGATATGTAAGCACAAATGTAGTAGTAATGTAGTATAAATGATCATGTTAAGTAAACTTGATCAAATTCAAGAATCTGCAATTCAAATCTTAATTACTCAACAAATTTTACCTGAGCATGGCTAAGTCCATCCCATGGCTGTTGTAAGGTCACGAGTTCCCACAGGATAACTCCAAAACTGTATACATCAGACTTCTCGTTTGTAGGTTCTCCTCGAAGAAATTCTGGAGCCATCCACTCAGGCTGAAAATAAAATTAAGAGAGTTACATACTTATTGATTATGATTATGCATGCACAAGGAGTTCCAGAGACTTACCGTTCCTGCAACAGATTTTGATGACAAGAAAGTGTTCGCCTTAAATCTAGACAGCCCAAAATCACACACCTGAGCATAAATTCGAAAAGAAAAAATCATCTTCTATCACAAGAGATAATAAAAATTTCGAAGAAATTGCTTAGTCTGTTTCATTATACCTTTACATTCCAATTTTTGTCCACTAACAGGTTTGGGGATTTGAGATCCCAGTGCACAATTGCAGGCTTCAGACAGTGGAGATAATTGATCCCTTTAGCCTACAATCAGACAAACCATATATCATCTACAACTTAAGATATTCATATGACAAAATAATAATAATGTTAGTGTACATACCACATCTATAGCCATTCGTAATCTTCTCTTTGGATCCTGAATTTCATTCGACACTGGTCTATGTATCAGGCGGAATAAACTACCTCTGTCATAGATACACCAACAAACAACAACGGTAAGAAACTCAAAAATCTTAATGCAAGAGTCCTATAACACATTTAGGTAACTATCAAAGAAGTTTGATTACCTAGGCAAATACTCTGTCACTATAGATAAATGGGGGCGCTTTGTAACCGCTCCCATGAAGAGAACCACATTTGGATGGCGAACACGTTTCATTATTGCAACCTGAAGCAATGAAAATAACACCGCAAATTAAGAATACTAAACAAGAAAAAGAAAGTAATAGACTAAGTGTATAAACGACATAGAAGTATTATTTGATAAAAGAGAAATTCATTAGATTTAGAAAATGAATAAAAAGACACAACACTACATTTGTTTAATCAATATTACGAAAACAAACCTCTCTCAAAAACTCTTTCAACTGATCATCATGAAAATTCTGAACTGATAAAACTTTGACAGCAACATCCTGCAATTTTGAAACTATGAATAAATACACAAAAATGATAAACAAAATTAAAATAGAAAAATAATAAACTTCCAAGTTGCCATGGAAGCTAAATGTTATTCATGCAATTAACTACAAGGTTACAATCAAATAGACTTCAGAAACTAGAGATTACAACAACATTACAAAGCAAAACTCACGAACTTAAATGTGCAAAGAAGACTGTAAATTTCAACAAGAAAAAGAAGTGCTTAATTTAACACTTACTGATCCATGCCATTCACCACGGTACACTGTCCCAAATGATCCTGCATAGAGAAAAGAACAACCTCATTTAGAGCCACCATGTCATTTATGTTCTTTCAAAACTGAGAAGCAGGAGAAACAGAAATTTTACCAGCACCAACGCGCTCTTTGATCCGTAGCTCATCCCATGATATCTCCAGCCAGTCCATTGCTAGTGATGGTTCAAGATTTACATATTTTGGAATATCACCGGCACCCTGTCTACTTTCTACCTGTTGCTGCTTTGACTGGATGGCATTTACCACCAAACTTCCCTTTGCAATGATCTCATTATAAGAAATTTCTTGGACTACGACTGAATCTTTACCAACAAATGGAATTTCGTGTAATAATGCTTCAGAGGCTGGGCGAAGAGCTTCAGAAGCACCTTAAAAAACAAAAGGAAAAAATAGTAAGCCTTAATTTTGCACATTTGCTGTCTCAACCATTTAAGTCAAAAGGAATTACAGGTGGTTATGTACCTCCACAAGTTTGATCGACTGAAGCATAAATGAAGCCATTATTATTTTTCAGCAAATCAGTTTCTTTACTTGGCTGTTCTTCCTGTAAACGGCCTGTAAAAGATTGAGTAACAACTAAGACCAACTATAAAATATGACTAATATCTGAAATTTTAAATTTGTTAAGCAATAGTAGTTTTAAGCAATTGGAAGATCAAATGGTCAGGTATATAAAGCACAACATACCTGAATACAGGTGATTGTCGGGAGAAATCTGATTAAAACCTATAACTTGAGGAGATGCTGCACCATCAACATAGGGCGATTGAGATTTTCTCAAATGAGAAATTTGAAATGGGGAAGGCGTGGAAGATACATATGCTCCATTAATTGATGAATCTGGCCCAAGAATATTTCCTGGTTCCCCAACCAGGTCAACAACATACTCCCTGTTTAAAAAGAACATGGGACTGGTGAAAGTAATCAAACAATTCTTGACAAACAAGAATTAACTTTAAAGTCTTCTACAGAGTCAACAAGTTATTAGTTGCAAACCAGAATTCTAATACATATGAGCAATCTAAACATAGATATGTAATGACTCATAAAACTTATCAATTTAAAACCGCTTGAAGATTATTGAAGCCTGGAAAACATAAAATCAACATAAACTCGATGGGATCTAAGAAAAAAAGCCAAAGTAGACATTGCAATACCTTGACAGTTGTCTGTCATCTTTAATCTTGACAAGAATAGACGACTGATGATCCGATGCACAGTACCTGCAACCTCGAGCAATGCGGCATGCCAAACCTATATAATCTGCCAATCTCTGCATCAACAAAACAAGTACAACATTGAATAACTATCAATATCTCAAGGCCTCATGTTGATTCACACCCTCCTCTTAGGGGGCTCCTTGGATTGACATAACAAATCTCATGTCCATTAAATGTTTATAGCTTATTTTCATAAAATCTACATGATAGTTTATAAAAACAGCTTATAAGGAAAAATATTTGACTTCATTTTGTCTACTGTTAATTTGTTATAAAAATACCTAAGTACCCATATGATAAACATTTATGCTATGATCACTTAAATGAAGTGTTTATCCAAACAGATCATAAACCATCCAATTTATTCCAACTAAGTAATAAAATGATTCACCTTGAAGAGAATTGCTCGATGCCTACAGATTCCCGTAGACAAACTACCAATGGGAAGCACAACACACTGATGAAAATTCCTCAACCTCTTACTGACCATCTGCCACCTCCTTTGCATATCCCCTTGCTCCATAGGGAAGGTGCCCCTTTTCATACATCCAACACCAAACACATAAATATATCACTAAACAAATAAATAATTATGCTAACTTTCACTTATATTAGGTTTTAAATATCTGTCGCTGTAACGGTTTTGCTTGCCTAATGGACATAAAAAAATTTAATGTAATGACTTAGATAATTGATGTCTAGATCAGTGTCGCATCATGGACAAGTTGTTAGGCCACAACCAAGATCACAATTGTCTAGATCCCGGCCGCATCATGGAGAAAATAATTGTTAACCTAGTATTATTTTTATGATCTCTCATATATTGTTATCATATTCTTACCCCATAAAGATAGCAACAAGTTTCCCGAGCTTTTCAACGAGCATCAAGGTATTCTCAGAAGCAGAATACAGCTCTTGAGCTTTATCTTGAAGTACCTTAAGACGAGAATCCTCTCGTCTATCAATAAGAATCACTTCCAATGAACTCTCATTGGGTTCAACCGCTCTAAGCGCCATCAATGTAGGAAGGAAATTCCCTTCTTCCTCCATATCATTACACATCAACCACAAATACGGATTCATCCCCAATATGTTATAAAATCCATCCGAAATCTTGTCCGTGTAAGACAAACACCCTGTCACCTGAAAGAAAAACCAAAACCGTTATCATCAAACTCCATGCATTACTATTAGTTTTGATGAAACCACGATTCTATTAAATTTACTATGAATCTAAAGATACAGTAAACAAGTTTATTGTTAAATAAGTGTCGTTTGGTTAATTATCATACCCATAAACGACGAGAAACGGATTCAACGTCCCAAGTTTCTAATCCAGTATCGAAAGTGAGGACCGGTTCAGAACCAAAGCTTGATAAGAAAGACAGCCTCTTCGCCAAAGCATGTTGCAGTTCATAGTTTTCTTTATACTTGTTAGCATAGTTCTCTTCGCCGCATTTCTCTTCTTCATCACGTTGTTCCTCTTCCTCCTTTTGTTGATGCTGTTCGTTCCTTCTCGTAGCTTCATTGGTCGAAACACGAAACGATGACGTAGTATCTTCTCTCGCAATATCATCACTGGAGAATGTAGCAGTAACGGTAACATCGGAAGCAAACAAACTGGCAGCGTAACTGCTTCCACTCGACAATCTCGGAAGCGAAACCTCCCTCTCAACAGCAACAGCATCCTTTTCCGCATGCAAATCCGGAAGTAGAGGCTCATCTTCAGGTAGACATTGATCCGATCGGTGATGATGATGATGATGATGATGGCGGCGGTGATGGTGACGAGCATGATGAGTATGTCGTTTATCAACCAACCAATCACAAAACGCAGCAATCTGCTTCTGTTCGCATCGGACCTTATCGCGGGTACTAAGAAGATGAGAAACAGCAGAGTTTTTAGCCGGAGAAGCAGAAGTTGTAGAAGTAACAATGTCATTTTCAATGAAAAAAGTTGCATCAGTTGAATTGACCGGGAGTTTTTTCTTCTCGTGATCTAAAATGTTGTTTGAAGATTCATCCAATCTTTTCTCGGGAAATTGCCTAGGAAAAAAGTAAGTTGCTCTGTGAGGCATTTCGTTTTTTCGTTCACAAAATAACCGTGATCTCTAACTGTTTTTTTAACCACCCACCCACACGAACCTGCACCTGCAAATGCAATTACAAACGCTTTTGTTTTTGTTTGTTATTTTGCACGTACACACGTGCGAATCAGTTTTCTCTTCCGCAGCCGTCCTCGTCTCCGTTGCTTCCTCCGCCTCTAGCGGGAAATTGTACTTATCAGTTTCTGGCCGGTGTAACCGTGTAACCGTAAGAGGAAGCTTGAGAAGCTGGTAGTTCAAGACTCTATTATAGAATATGAGAAAAACAAAACCCACCGAGTTTGGAAAACTTTTTCTAAGGCGGTGGAGAGAGAGAGTTTTGTGTGAAAATTTGATGCAAGCTGCTGCTATGCGAGTGAATATGATAATATTTTATGGAGGAGGGAAGAAAAGCTAGTTGAGGGAGGGATCATGGAATATTGCAGTGGGTGGGAAATGTATAGTGTATAAAATATAAAAATAAAATTTGGAACATAAAGTGCGCTTGGGGTGTAGTGTGCACCGTTTCTAATTAGAGGCCACGTCAAATTCTAGCCAATGAATTTGTGACATGTATGTTTGGAGAGATGCCTATTGCAGTCGGGAAACGCGGTATAGTTTGGTTTGGGATAAATGAATGTTGCCTTGTTTTGAAGTCATAATAATTCTTTACATAAAATAGTTCTTGACGAACTTCAAAAAAAAAAAAGCAAAAGTATTTGAGAAGAACTAAGCATTTAACATACATTGATTTAACAAGATTATTTTAAATATTCACGATGAATAATATTTTTTTAATCACAAAATTATAAAGATTATGTTGAAGATTATAACAAAATTAGTGTTCAAGTATTTTTAAAGAATCACATACATTCATAAAGAATTAATAGTTAAATATAATAGTAAGAATCGTGTAAATTATGATATTTTAATTTTGATTGATGAAATTATTTATAATTTTAGAAGAATTTAAAATTTAATATTATTATCAATAATATATTTTCTCTATTAATCAAAAAAATATTAATAATCATTTTTATGTATTCTAAAATAAATATATCATTTATGTTAAACAATTCCAAAAGGAAAACATCTATATATTAAAGAATCATAAGGAAAAATATTTTGAATGTTATTTATAAGTATAAGTATATCGTTTGTGATATAGTTTTTAAAAAATTAAAATAAAAATTTGCATTTTTTGCTATAAATAATATATATGTATATCGTTTGTGATATAGTTTCTAAAAAATTAAAATTAAAATTTATATTTTTTATATTTATATCTATTTAAACTATATTGGTTCAATATTTATAAGACAATTGTTTTTTATATTTTTTGAAGAGTTAATATTCATTGATAAATATTTATGATTAAAAATATACACGTTTGATTTGAAAGAGAGTTGAGAGAAAGGAAAATTTTAATTACATGATAATTTTATTTTATTTGATAATACTTAGAATTTAATAGTGATTTCATTTTCTCTAATACAATCATTTATTCTATTTGATAATTTTATTTTTTGATTTTTATTTTCATAATGTGTATTAAATTTTTATGATATATATAAGTAGAAGAAAAAAAATCGTTTTGATTATAAATTTATTAAGATTGACAAATATTTATTTTAAAATTGAATGTTATTAATTTGTGATTATTTATCAAAATTTAAAAAATTTTGATTTGGATGTCAAAATTGTAATTAAATTATATGTCATGTATTTTTAAAAATATATTTTATATCAATAATTTTATTATTTACTATGGATTTGAAACAAATTAGAAGAATAAAATGATATCTATTATTGTAAACCAAAAGTTTACAAATCACACTTAAGTATTTTGTTGGCAAAATTGGTTGGGTCATCTCGCATGTTTTATGAGCTAGTTTTGAAGAATCAGAAGATTCTTCAATCCAATAAAATTTGTGTGTTTTCAAAAGAAAATCTGAGAAGTTGAATTTTTATGACATTAATTATTGCATTTACTAAAAAAAATCATACATATGTCTACTCACAACCAGAAGTTTGTCAAATTATTTTCTCAATTAATTAGACTAAGATCTTGTTTTATTTTTAGAAATTCATGTATTAGTATCACATATATTATTTAAATTGACATCAAACATCATGTAATATATGTTCATAAAAAAATAAACTCGAAGATCTATTTTTTAGACGTATAAATTTAATTATATGATTGATACTTATGAGATCATCAATTCTAAATTATATATTTGAAACACCAAAAGCGTGGTATTAAGATATTTATTCGCATCAAGCCAACACCTTGTGATACATTTCTCCTTCCTTGATGTAATGTATTTCAGGTTACTAACCTGATACTTCTCGTCTAAGTGAACTTTTAGAAGTGTTGTGTTTTTTTAATTGCTCCAATATAATACACTAAGACGAATTCTGAAAGAATATTGGAAAAATATATTTGATATAAATCCCAATTTTGAGATATAATTTGAGTAAACTACTGGATACTCGACTGTAACCCAGTAGGCTGATTATTAATTGAGAAAATAAATTTTCCAATATTATGGGGAAAGATTAAGCAGCTGAAGAGAGAATCAGAAGTTCAAATATAATTTAAAATAAACGGTTATCTTGATCCTCGTATAAATGAATACGAACCAAAAGTTCAATATATTTCTTATTTGTAAAGTTTATAAAACTTATTATCAGTTGTTAATACTCTAATTAAAATAGGTTCTTTTGTTGGATAATCTAATATTACAAATGAGTTGAAACCGCACCTGAAACGTGGTAGGAAATTAGTTTCAATGTTAAAAGTTATCTACCAAGAAAAGAAACTAAAGTTAAAGATGACTCAAGTGAGGATATGAAAATTTTAAGAGCACTTTGACATAATTTATTTTTCAGTTTCAGAAAAACTAATCAAGTACTTAAAATAAATAAAGAGATCTTGATAAATTATGTCATGGATAAAATGGAATGGAATCGAAATTAAAATAACCAAATAAAGTCGACATTGACAATGTATTTATATACAATATAGCACTAAAGATGATAAACGATAACGAGGATTATGAAACAAAGTCTACCAAAGATGGTAGACAAAGTGAGAATTGGTCAAAATGAATAAATCATGAATCAAAGTCTATCAAAGATTATAGACAAAGTGAGAATTGACCAAAATGAACAAATCATGAATCAAAGTCTATCCAAGATTATAGATAAAGTGAGAATTGGCCAAAATAAACATATTTAATTAAAGAAGAATTAAAATCACTTTACAAGTGACTCGATTTTAGACTTGTAGTCCACAAACACCTCAAGGTGTAAAACCAATGGGATATAAATGAGTTTTTATGAAAAAGCATAATAAGAATGGTATAAAGTTTGATTTGTTGCTCAATGATTTTCACAAATACCTAAGATTTACTTTGATGTAACATATCTACATGTAGTGGATTGAATTAATTTTTCAATATTTAATTAGCCTTGTAGCGCATGAAGGGATTAATATGAACAAAATGGATGTTGTGACAACTTATTTATACGGCTCACTTGATAGTGACATTTACATGAACTCTTTAAAGTGTTTAATATATCAGATACACGTAATTTTGGATTTGGAGAAAGCTACTCCATAAAATTGAACAAGTCTCTTTATGAGTTAAAACAATATGGACACATGCGGTATAATCGTCTTAGCAAAGATTCGTTAAGGGGGAGATATACAAATAACTCCAAATGTTCTTGTATTTTTATGAAAATATCTGGAAAATAATTTGATATAATATCCATGTGGATGACATAAATATTATTGGATCTTCTGCAGAGTTTTCAAAAGCTATAAATTGTTTAAATAAATGATTTGATGTGAAGGACTTGAAAAAGACAAAGTTCTAACAAGGTGAATATTTAGACTATAGAATTAGCGTACACCAATAAGGTTATATAGAAGAAGTGTTAAAACGTTTCTATATAGAAAAATCTCGTATATAGCAAAAATGTTAAAATGTTCTTATGCGGACAAATATCGTATGTTGTCTACCTCTATGATGATAGATAATTGAATATGCAAAAGATCATTTTAGACTCCGAAAAGAGAATGAAAAATTAATTGGTTCTGAAGTACCATATCTCAGTGTAATTCAAGCACTGGCCTATTTTTCTAAATATACTCACCATGATGTATCAAGTACTATTACCTATTAAAAATTTATAGTTATTCGCCTACACGAAAATATTGGAACAAAGTCAAAAGATACTTTGTTATTTTGGGGGTAAATGGACATGAGTTTGTTTTATTCGTATCCAAATTAGAAGATACTTGGGTATTTTGGGGATAAATGGACATGAGTTTGTTTTATTCGTATCCAAATTAGAATTAACAGGTTATGCAGAAACACAATACTCTCCAGATCTTCATAGTGGTAGATCACACAAATTATTTGTTTACTTATGGTGGTACAACTATTTCATAGAGACCGGTGAATTAAACCATAACAACATCATCATCTAATATTTAAGAATTTTTAGCACTACATGAGGTAAATCGAGAATTCGTTTGGTTGAGATCCCAAATTCAACACACCCAAATGGCTTATGGAAAAAAGAAATACAATAATCATATATGAAGATAATATTGCATGCATTGTTTAATTGAAAGATGGTTACTGTAATACGGTGAGAGAAATGACTTGGGTGTTTTGCATTTTATTCGCAATTATTGCGGATAGCAAGAGTCGCCATCGAATTTTCTTTTATCCAATAAAGGAAAAGGTGAAAAGAACAGGAACGGCTTTTTGAGAATTTTCTTAAGTTCGGGGGGTAGATTATGAAAAGGGAAGGTGTTAACACCCTTTTCATCCGCAATTATCTACGGGCTCTTAGTTTCTATCTCACTTTTAGATATGCTTTGTGAATGTGTTTTGTTGTTGTTTGTTTGAAAGTATTTTTGAAAAGTGCCTTCGTTTAGGAGAACTTTGTAATGATTCTCGTCTCTATAAGAA